ATTCAGAAACATTCTCCAACTGGATGACTTAGAGTAAAAAGACAAAGGGTGTATTCATGATTGATGGTTTCAAGTCTTTTTTTATGTTATCTAAGGATTTTTCCACTTAGAAATGTGGATTTAATAAAAATAAAAAAAAGTTTTGTACCTGCTTTTTTAAGATTACCTTAATCCTTTGCAGATTTCTTTTTATATGAGAATGCTATTTGTAGTGCGAGTGTAGTATTTCTTTTTTCTTATGTTGTAAAGTTGTCCTTACTGCAGAGTCTCTTTTCGTTTTGTCTTGTTACCTTTGTGTGAATGTATGGTTCCATTTGGCCTGCTGGTACACCTGAATTTCCCCCACTAAGGGACAATAAAGAATATATTTATATTTTATTCTGTTGTGGATGTTCTTATTTTCAAAAGGTACCTTTAATCTGATAAATGAGTCATAGGAACACATTCTTTTTTAATGATTGTAAGCGCTTTCGGCTTGTTCAACAAAGGCTGTAATGACCCACTGTAACAACAGGGGGCGGTAATGGAACGTAGAGGAGTGGTGACTATGGTGAAAATCCACAGAAGAAGCTGATCTCTAGGGGACAGTGCAAACAGCTACATCTTCAGTTTGGCCCAGAATGTGGCCTTTTCAATAATACGCTGTAATACGACGTTCTTATAAACCTAATCGAGCTTCTTTTTTTTTTTTTAAGACGCAAATTGTTTTGTTTAACTTGTTCTTTGCAAACTGATGGCGATGTTGTAATGTGATGCAGCCACTTGTGACGGTTTGTTGATCAGGTGAAGCAGAGGGAGCCGAGGAGGAGACTCCGAAGAGGTGAGACAGCCTACCGCAGAAGGCTGCTACATCATGGCTTCACTGCTCTCTGGGGAGGAGAAAAAAAGCTGTCCTATTTTTCAGTCAGTCTGGGTTCAGTTATCGGGTTTATGTTTAGTAATAATATGAGCAGTTCTGATCAGCGACAGCTCTCTTTTTTTTTTTCTTCTGTTTTCTTTTGACATATTAATGTCTTCTGAGACTGGGCCCATTCATGTATAACATCCAGCTATCCGTTTAAAACTGCTTGTGCCAAAGTAAAACTGTACTTTGTAGATGTGATATTTTGTCATCTGCGCCGTTTTTTAAAATTATGATAATTTTAATAATGATGATAAGAATACAAATAATATCGCTCGCTGATAAATCAATTAAGAGTCTTGATGCTACTTTCTTTCCTAAGTAACGGGAAAACAGCAATTGATGTACTTAGTTCTTCAACAGTGTTACTGTTTGAAGTAGTTTTAACTGTTTTACTTTTCTTCAGTCTTGTGAGGGATTTTCTTTTGCACATGAAGGGCTTGACGCCATCATGTGGGTCACATTTGTCTCTGATACACCATCAGTTGACACTTAGGGGTCAAACAGATTTAAGTTGAGTTCAGAGTCAGGACTACATTGGCTCATTGGCTACTGCTCAGCCTTTAAGCTCCTGAATCAGCATTTTCTCCAACATGGTTATCTCCAGGCACTCCAGTTTCTTCCTATAATCCAAAAACAAGACTGTTAGGTTAATTACTCTAAAAAAATGCCTTTAGGTGTGAATGTGTTTTGTCTGTGTTTCTATATTAGATTGGCGAGCTGTCCTGTGACACTAAAAACCGCTCAGAGGGTTCAGAAGATGTGTTGATTGATAGTAGAGTGTGGCTCATTTAAGGAGTTTAAGGACTGAAACAATTAAGTGTGATTAATCGATTATTGAAATAATAGTCAACTAATTTAGTAATCAATTAATCATTAACTAGAGTATACAGACTCAAAAAAGGCAATTTCCTGGAAAAACAACACAGTCAGAGCAGTAAGTAAGCCAAATTTGTGCTAAAATACATACAATTTGCATTTAAGATAAAAAGAAAAACTTTCTTTTTCTGTAAATATGTTCCACCTAGAACTCCTCTAATCTCAGATCTTCACCTGTTTCAAATTCTTTTTGGAAAAAAAAAAATCACATTGATATTGGTTGCAGTAATCATTCATAAAAATCTAATATTATCTTATCTGCAGGTGCTGCATGTTTACTTTATTTCAAACAACTTTTTCAAGTTGCTGAACCTGACAACCTCAAACTGGCTGAAATGGACGAACAAAGTGTTGAGGTGAGTACATATGGACTACAGTTGTACTTATTTAACCCATACAACACGGGCAGGAAGTTTGACTCATGTCTCAGTGATGTTTGTTTAGCCATGTGGGGAGTTTGGTGTTGAACTGTCCTCTGTCTTTTTGCAGAGCATTGCTGAGGTGTTTCGTTGCTTCATCTGCATGGAGAAACTGAGGGATGCACGCCTCTGCCCCCACTGCTCCAAACTCTGCTGCTTCAGCTGCATTCGGGTGGGTGTGGTCAACAAACTGAAACTGACCTGTTTTCTCTGCAATGCACAGTTCTTTAATCTTTGCTTTGAAGAACAATGTTTATTATAAACCAGAGAAGAACATGGATGAAGTCTGGGAAAATTATTTATAGGTTTCCTCCACAATCTAGAGAAGTCTGGACAAGCTAGATTTTTATAAGAAGAATAAATATAGGAATAGAAAATAAAGTGTTGAAAGATATTTGAATTTCTATCCTTTTTCCCTTTGATGTTATCTTAAACATCCATCCATCCAACATTCCATCTATCCATAAAGCTATCCACCCATCCATTCATCCAACCATCCATCAAGTTCTTGCAGGTTCCATGTCTAAAGCCTTATATTAAATATTCCAGAACAGTGGTTTTATTAAATCAGATTTTGTCAGATTGTTTTTGTGTTTGTAAGGATCTTAGGCTAACCTTCATATGTTCCTGTAAATCCTATGTTGTATCCTTGTGTTGGTTGTATTTGAGCTGGAATCTCTTGTTTGACAGCGATGGCTGACTGAGCAGAGAGCCCAATGTCCACATTGTCGGTGAGAAGCTTTACACCTTCTTATATCCACACAGATCTTCACTTTCAGCTGTATTTGTCTCAACGAAGTACTGCATTTCTAGCTTAAGATACTGCCTTAGTATTTTTATTAAAAGAAATTTCAAGTTGTACAAAAATCTTACCTTGTGTTTAAAGCTTTGAAGGCAGCAACCTGCCTAATTTACACAAGGTTAATGTTATATTTTGTCAGACGTGTCAATTGTGAATCAGTTACAGTTTTAGTGCTTGCTGTTCAAACAGAGCTCCACTGCAGCTGAGGGAACTGGTGAACTGTCGCTGGGCTGAGGAGGTCACTCAGCAGCTGGACACCCTGCAGCTCTGCAGTCTCACCAAACATGAGGACAATGACAAAGACAAGTGAGTGTCTCCTAAAACCTTTCACTTTTTTTGTTTTATAATTTAACCCTGTGACAGTTTTTAAAGTGGACCTATTATGAAAAATTCACTTTTTAGATGTTTTTATACTTCCATTTGGGGTTTTTAGAAGAAGCCCAAAAAAGTCGCCATGACGTGTTTTTTTCCTACTTATTTTTGACAATAAGTTAAAGTTTTTGGTGTCTGGAAAATGAGTCGTTTCAAAAACCTCTGAATTGTTAAGTCACATTCGACTATAATGATATGCACTGAAAGGCTGCTGGAAAAGAGAAGTGTTGTTGACTTGTCATCCAGAAACCACTTGTTGTATTCTTGTTGGTTGTGCAAGAGGTCATTCTTTTCTGAGATGTAAAGTTGTAGAATTTGAAAATGAGTTGGGGCATGGGCGTGGCCAGCAGCAACTTATTTAGATTTTAAAGGCCCTATAACAGTTTTAAGCTTTAATATATTAGAGAACAGTTGATAAACCCTATCAATTTTTTGAAAACAGAACAAAATTAACAAAAATAAAACAATTATTTCTCTCTTCATCAACACTGAGCAGATGTGAAAACCACCATGAGAAGTTGAGTGTTTTCTGCTGGACCTGTAAGAAATGCATCTGCCACCAGTGTGCCCTCTGGGGAGGAATGGTAATGTTTAGAGCTGTTGTTTTTATGTTTTATATGTTACAGACTGAATCCAAAGTTATAAATAAATCAGAAGAATCACATGCACAGATACTGCTATATTACTCAGTCAACTTTCTCTATAAAATCAATTTTATCTAAAAAAAGTCAACAAATGGAATACTAAGCAGAAACTATATTCTAGTCAGTTATCTGATTATTGACTAGAATAATCAGATAATTATTCTAGTCACATTTTGAATTAATCAGAAAATATTTCTAGAGGTTGAAGCAGCTGAATGATAGATCTCTTTGTTGTCTGCAGCACGGCGGCCACACCTTCAAGCCTTTGGTGGAGATTTATGAACAGCACGTCACCAAGGTGAAGGAGGAAGTGGGAAAACTGCGCCGTCGCCTCATGGAGCTCATTAGTTTGGTGCAGGAAGTGGTGAGGACTTTTTACTTCTTCATCTTGGAGTAGCTGTTTACCTTTTTTCTGGACAAGCCATATATATATCATCCTAAAAATATTTGCTCTCTTTTTCACCTTGAGTTTGTCACTTTGTCTACATTAATTAAATCTTAAATTTTAACTGCGCTGTATTTTGTGATAAATCAGTAACAACAGTTATTTTGAAGAACAGCTTGCAGCTTTTAAGTAACTAAGTAAGTAAACTTTATTTATATAGCACCTTTCACAGACATAAAAATCACAAAGTGCTTTACAAAAGGAAACACATCAATAATAAAAGAATCTGAAACCAGTTAAGAAAATTAACCAAAAGCCAGTCTGAAGAGATAAGTCTTGAGACTTTTTAAATGCGTCAGATGACTTGGAGCAAAATCGATAGAGGGAGAGCGTTCCAGAGCCTCGGGGCTCCACCTGAAATGCTCTATCATCACGAGTTTTAAAATGAGTTCTGGGAACCGACAGCAGCATCTGATTAGAAGAGCTCAGAGTCCTGGACGGACAGAGAGGCTTCAGAACGTCCAATATATATTTGGACCTTATTATGATGCTGACACATTTAGACTGTATGGATCTAAAGAGATTTTTTTTTAATTGTTAAATTGTTGTTTACAGAATTTTTTAAAATACCAGACTTGGAAAAACTTTTGCAATTTAAATTAAAGTCACAAAGCAGCTATGTTTTTTCCTCTTCAGAGAGTGTCTTTGATGGGAGCATGTTCCTTCTGTCTGTATGTCACCAATAAAATGGTTAAAAACATTCAATATATGAACTGATTTTCCGCAATTGAGCTTATTTGTATAATGTACAGCGTTTTTTTTGTCACCAACTGTGAGTGTAATGTGTTTCGTGTGCTGAGGAGTGATCATAAACGACAGCGAAGATATTTGATGTGAGGCAGGCAGTTCTGTTGCCTCATGGCAGGGGGAGCTCATGATCCCAGACATTGGTTTTGTGACTCCATGTCTGCAGAGTAAGAGGCAACGAGCTAGCCATACAGTAAATAAGTCAAGGGCAGCGATATATTTATTGTTTTCTCTTCCAACGTCAACATGGATGACTACATTTCTACACTACACTATAGTTTTCTATATTGGATTTTCATTTGGAGCAGGAAATAATGACTAAAGGAAGACCAACACAAGAGCTGAAAGGTTTGCTTCAAACTATGAGACAGAAGGGTACCACTCTTTTCAAACTAAGTGGTATAGAAAAGACAGGCTTTGTGGATGTCCAGCTAGAAATGGCCTTTTTTGCTTTCCTTGGCTTCTTTTCTCAGCTTGTGGTCAAGGATAGACTTGGCTTTGGGTGAACTGATAGCTTTGTGCAGAAAGAGTACAGTAAATAAGTCATTATTATTATTGTTATTATTATTATTACTATTATCATTATTATTGCCGCCTTACCTTTACTTATACATGAAGCCCGTGCTCCGCTCATTCAGCACAAATCCCAAATGGTTTTAGTGCGATCTGGCTTTCTATATTAGTGGTCGATCACTCATGATTTGAAAGGCTTCTTAGCGAATTATTTGTCACAAAATCCCATCTGAGTCCACACAGTGCCACAAGTTGAGAAAAGAAGGCAAGGAAAGCAGAAAAGGCAGTTTCTAGTAGGACATCCACAAAGCCTGTCTTTTCTTTACATTTGAAAACAGCGGGTGCCTGTCTATGTCTTAATTTGAAGCAAACCTTTCAGCTCCAATGTTGGTCAATCTTTAGTATTATTTCCTACTTCAGTTGAAAATCCACTTTAGAAAACTTTGTAAGTGTAGAAATGTAGTCATCCATGTTGACATCGGAAGAGAGAAGAAAACAACAAATATATCGCTGCAAATGACTTATTTACTGTGTGGCTAGCTCACTGTCTCTTACTCTGCAGATTCAGAGTCACAAGACCAATGTCTGGGATCATGAGCGCCCCCTGCCACGAGGCAAGAACAGTGCCGGTGTTCTGACTATCTGTCATACCCAAGGGCGTAGGAACAAGTTTATCACTGGGGGGGACACGTATCAGACACCTGAACGATCCGTAAATAGCTTGAGCAAAAATGTCAAACAATTGTCATCAACGCGTTACTCTAATCTGACCCCTTGTAACGAGTAATCTAACATGTTACTATTTACAATCCAATAATCAGATTAAAGTTACATGTCCAAGTTACGTATTTGTACATTTTTTTAGAAAACATATTGTTGCTTTCTTTTACCTTGGGGAGATGGGTGATTCTTTTTTTGCGGCAACATTTCGGCTTCAAGACATTTGAAAAAAAAAGTATTAATGTTTTAAGTTTTAAATATTGTGTTACAACACTGACATGTTTAACAATAAGAAATTAATAATGGGCAAGCTCAGGATTGGATAAATTAATAATTACAGGTGTTTTTTTCACCATTGTCTCTGAATGTGTTCCACCCTGTTATGAACATTTACATATAGACCACAAATAGTTAAACATGTAAATTTTGAAAAATAACTTTTTCTTAAAAAGAGTGTGTCCCTTTTACTATATAATATGTTTTATTTTTGAAATTGTAGCACATCATGTAGTTACGAATCATTTATGTCTGTATTGTAAAAAAAAAAATTTTTTTTTTTTACTCATTATTACTGACAGCATAGAAAATATTGGTAATTTTAAAAACTTATACCAATATTTTTATTTATTGGTCTTCAATTCCCAACATGGCACAGAAAAATTTACAGTACTTAATGTTTCTGTAACAATATTTAATAAAAACATGTGTGGAATAGAACATAACATGGTGGATTGTCCCATAACAGGGTGGAAAATTAATGTCTTCAATTCTAAAATCTGACGATTTTCATCACTGGTTGCAGGATTGCCTCTTTCAAGTCAAAGTATAGGCACAGTATTTGTCCTGGCTCTATTTGGGAAAACATGTGATATCCCTGTAGTGGATTTTCCTATGACAGGTACTCATTGTTCCCCTCACAGGAGTCAATGGGGGTACCAAGTGGAATGAAAACAGACAAATGGCAAAGACATCTGTTAATACCTCAGATTACTCTGCAGCTCTATTCCATCATCTGACATTTTTTATTTTACTTAAAATGATTACTTTTCACCCTAATTTCCACTCTGTTTGGTTCATGAACATAGGGTGGAACTTTTCTAACTAATCTACCTGTAGCTCTTTATGTGGTGAACATTTAGCTAGCTAACCTTCAACAGAATAACAAACCTTTAATGACTAAATCTAATGTTTTTTAAATTCTACTGAATAAACATTTTTCACAATCTATCCTAACAGGGTGGAACTTTAAGCTTTACTCATCCAGGTTTAACATATTTAAGATAAGAAAAAGTACATAGATAGTGACAGTTGAAGCTTACTTTGTTTTCCATGGTTGAATTTACTTCAAAACCAATTGATGTCACTTCCATTAAATGGTTTTTATGGAATTTTAGACTTTTCTAAGGCAAAAAGGAAACATCCTAACGGTGGAAAGTTAGTACTGGGACATGTATAATATGAAGAAAATATCAAATAAGAAAAATAGTTTCAACAGATTCAATTGCATATTAAAATAATGTTTAGTCAGAAAACAGAAATATATATTTTATAGTTTAAACTTCATGAGGGAGTCTATTACACTGCACTGGGGACACAATGAAATTGAGCATGTCAGTCACTAAAAAGGTGTGTAAAGAACAAAATGAGATTTAAAAGGCATTTCATTTATATTTGAGTAATGGCAAACATCTAAATGGATCGTTAAAACACTTTGTTGTAAATATTTGGCCCATTTTACAAAAAATAATTGTAAGCCAAACATGGGGACATGGAATGTTGCCGCAAAAAAGAATCATCCAGATACGTTTCATGTGTAACACCAGCGACACAAACGTAAACGATGGAGGGAAAAGAGATTTACATTTTCTAGCTGATGGATGAATTTTTCATTGAGTAATCAAATTACTCTTTTAAAGTAACTATGCCATCCATGGTAATAAACTAACTACACTATATATCATATGTGTGTAGACCTGTCACAATAACAAATTTTGATTTTTGATAAACAAT